TGTTTTTCTTCGTGAGTTGGGGGGGGGGGGTGAGGGCAGGGGTGGACAGATGATTTCCACATGCCTGCCATGTAAGTGTGTCTAGCTGACAAATAATGATAAAGATCGCTCCTATGCTTGTGGACAATGGATTCTGTTGTTGCTAACTCACTAGGCGAGCGTTGGTGTTCTACATTTTTTATCGCGACTTGCCTATGATGAATATGAGAATGTTAATAAACCAGATTTTCTTTTTTTGATATATTTTTTTATCGCTAAATGCAAGTTGTTTATCTGTAATTGAACTCCTGGACCATTCATTGCTCTGTACGTTTAAAGGTAACATAACATTACAGGTTACTGTAGATGCTGAGAGAAAAGATGGATCTAATTGCCAATATGATATTATCTGTAATGCTCGCTTGCCAAAAGGGCTTGATCCTCATTCTGTTCCTTCTGATGAGCTTGCTGCTTCTCTGGGGTATTCACTTGTTGCTTTCATAATCACATGCATAAATTTTCTAAAACCCACTCGTTTGAATTTCTCATCTTACATTGCCGCATCTCCTAATTCTGAGTCTATATCAGTTTGTTATACCCTTGTGGATGTGTAATCAGTTTCACGTTTTTTGAAGTGTTGATGTGTTTTACAAGTTGGTAATCTCACTTGTTTCGAGCAGATACATGGTGCAATTGCTGGATCTTATTGTCCGCAATGTCTGTGCTCCCTCACTTCATAACTCAGGTTTTGCAGTAAGTCTTAAGACTTGAAAAATTTACATACACATTGACACAAATACCCCTGCAACCTACTGAAACAGAGAAACTTTGTGTTCTTGTGTAGGGCTCATGCTCTCGAATATGGCAGCGTGATTCTTATTGGGATGCACGCCCATCATCTAGAAGGTTCTAGGTTTTGCTGGACCAAAAAAGTATGCTCTTTTTTTCTTTTCTCCCTACTTACCTTTGTTTTCTGTGATGCAGTGGTGAATACCCTCTTTTTATTCCACGCCAAAATTTTTGCTCTACTGTTGGAGAAGCTTCATGGTATGAAAAAAGCTCAAGTAACTTTGGCGTGACCTCTATGGAGTCTGATAGGAAGGCTCGTTTGGATTCTTTTAGAAGCAGCAGTTTCAGCTACTTGTCTGCTTCATCACACTCAAAAGAAACACACAAGGAGTTGCAGAAAGGGATAGCACTTGTCAAGAAAAGTGTTGCTTGCATAACGGCATACTGTTATAACATATTATGTCTAGATATTCCTGCAGAGGCCTCAACATTTGAAGCATTTGCAAAGCTGTTGGCCACCCTTTCTTCTACTAAGGAAGTGCAATCTGTTTTTTCTTTGAAAATGGCTCGTTCGAGGTACAATTACAGCAATGGTATTAACAAGAATAGGTTTTGAATTCTGAACTGAGAATGTAATTTGATGATGATAATTCAGGTCATCCAAGCAAGCCCAACAATTCAGCAGACCTGCATGGGTTGCAAATTCCTTAGCTTCCTCTAGCGCTTTTATGGAAAGTGTGCACGCGTTGCCAACACAAGTAAGATTTCTGATTGACGGTCTATGTTAAAACTTAAAAGGGGCTATTTTTTGGGAAGTAAAATTCAAGCATTGGATTCAGTTATGGAAAGGCATTGATTTAAACAAGTGATGATCTTGCCATTAGATTTTGTTTGTATGGAAAATTTTGTGTTTTATAATCTAATCTAGCCTAACCTTGCAGAGAAATGCGTATGACCCTAATAATCGTCCAAGCTCTACCACAGCCAGTTTGAAGTATGCAAATGAGACATCAGAGGCAGGACGGAATGAAAATGCAATAATTGAAGGGTGGGATCTAATCGAGCACCCCACCTTCCCCCCTCCACCTTCACAAACCGAAGATGTCGAACATTGGACTCGAGCCATGTTCATTGACGCTACAAAAAAGTAACTCATTGTGGGCCAAACCTACGACAACCCCACCCCACCCTGTAAATACTACTGTACATATCTCCGAGTGTATAATATGGAAAATGCTTAAGTCATCCCACCTTTCACCTTCTATCTTTTCATAGACATTCACAAACATAGAACAGTAAAAAACGCGTGTCCGTGGATGTCCGTGGGAAAGATGGGAGTCAAAGATGGGCGCCACTAGCAAGGTCCATATAATATACTCCGTATATAAAATGTATCTTGACTCTTTGAGTTTTCTTTCTTCAGTTTTGTTGGTCTCAATGCTGAAAGTATAGTCTATGTTGGTCGGTACTCCCTCTCAATTTCTCGAGTCCACATTGACAAATCAGATGAATTACCTAAGTAAACATTGTGTGGTTTGGTATGCGTAAGTTCAGAGAAGTACTTGTTTTGGCCTTTTGGGAAGTTGACTATGGAGTGAGTTTGTCCAAAATATCCTTACTAAAAAATACTTAAGCACGAGAAATGAGAATATTAAATCTGAACAGAAAAAAGAAGGGAGAAGCTTTTTTTCTTCCAAATGCATGTATATAAGAAATGAGAAGATTAAGTTGGTACAGTGAAAAATGAGAAACGAGAAGATAAAATTGGGACAAAGAAAGTAATTTTGATTTTGTGGAGGGAGAAGTGTTGTGGATACTAAGGTGGAGGTTTTTTGAAAGACAAATGAAATGTCTTGACATGGAGACATATGTTGTACTTCAAATTATTTTAGGATAATGATTAAAATTATCAAAAAATCAATCTATTTGAAATTAGTGTGGAATCAGAAAATAATTTTGGAACATATATTTAAAAAATAAACAAAAGTTTTACGAATCAAGAAGTCACATTATTGTATTGCTTTATTAAATGAGTAACAAAAAGAGATAAAGAAATGGTTAACGTAGAACGGTAAACATGTAGCTTAAACTGTGATGCAATAAGTATTACAACATATAACTTGAATAAAAGGCAAAAGTCTTGCTTCACGTCTTCCTCTTTTTCGGTGGTGGGGGAGTGCCTTCCTCTTCACTCTCTTCATCTATCTCGCCATTGTCTTGAATCTGATTCACATCGTCATTTTCACCACCATCGTCGTCGTCGTCATCATTATCATCGTCATCGCCGTTGTTATGGCATTTGTCACTGCCTTCACCATCGTCTTCATTATTGCCATCGTCATAATCCTTTTCATCATCCTCTCTTCCATCCTGGTCGTCGTCGCTTGCGACTTCCTCTTCATTCTCATCATTTTCATTGTCATTGGGGTTGTTTTCATGAGGTTCTCCGGCACAAGAGGATTTGTTGACATCCTTGTCGTCTGCGGGGTGTCCGTCGTTCTCATCTCCCTCGTGAGGTCGGTTGTCATTGTCATTCGCCGCCATGAGATACTCCTCACTTTTCAATTTGATTTCCTGACGATTAATGTATTATAACATTTATAATTTGACCAGTAATTAAATAAAATTTATATTTGATACGGGAAAAAATAAACAGAGAAAAAGTAGAGATAGACAAAGGAACCTGCTGCTGCTGCTGCTGCTGCTTAGCCTTGGAGCTCAGAATGAACAAATAATAAGTTTTAAGAGAGTGAGAGAGAAAGAGATCATATGGGGAATTGAATAATTGGGATGAGAGAGAATATATGCATTATGTTAAAAATAAATGTGAAAGAGAGATCAAAGAGCATCTCATACCCACCGAATCCAATCCCTTGTTCCTTCCTACTCCCTTCATCCATTAATTTCTTTGAGTTGCCATAAATTTATTTCCCGCTTCTTATTTTGACAAAAAACTTTTAATAATTGTGTCATTATATCTCTATTTTTCATCTACATAATTCTTTTATTACATCACATCAAGGACAAACATGAAAAGTCTTTAAATTATTGGACGGAGAGATTATATGAAAAAAAATACTCTTATGTGCATAACATTTTTATTGGTTCTAAACAAGTTTGAGCCACATTTTCTCTTTTTCAATAATTGTACTCCCCCCGTCCCATAAAACATTTCCTGTTTCAAAAATAGCACGCCTTTAAAATGAGTAATTTTAGTGTTATTTTTTAATTATGACTAATCTATTCTACACATCTCATCCTACTCTTTTATAAAGTAAGGGTAAAATTAGAAAATAATACCAAAATTACTCATTTTAAGGGTGCGCCTTTTTTGAAACAGGAAATGTTTTATGGGACGGAGGGAGTATCAGATAAGATTTTGCCACTAAGAATCTGGTTATGGAAGTAATGATTTTGCTTGATTTTTTGGTGAAAAATTGACAAAAAAAAAAGTTCGAGCGAAAGGAGATTGGACAAAAAGATTAGTAAGATTAATTGTTGTCCGTAACTAATAATTTAATCAAGTATCATTTCAAAAAATAAAACAATGTAGTCTTCTTATCTACACCAGTAGGAAAAAAAAAGTACCCCTTGAAACTAATTTTCAAAAAATAAAAAATAAAAATAGTTTGCTTGTTATTTCGGTTTATTATTTCCCTCCAATTTATCGAAAGAAGCAACAAAATAAAACGGGAAGTAAGAAAGAAAAAGGCAGTAAAATAATTATTTTTCTAAAAGGAAAACTTATCTTTTATATGCAAATTTACGATAGATATAAAGAAAGTGAAGTTTGAGAATAATTCAAACATATGAGCAGAGAGATTAGAGAATAATAATAATAATAATAATAATAATAATAATAATAATAATAATAATAATAATAATAATAATAATAATAATAATAATAATAATAATAATAATAATAATAATAATAATAATAATAATAATAATAATAATGGTTGGTTCATAAACACCTTTGTCCCATTTTCGCTTTCTTCTAAAATCATTTTACTTCTCTTGACTTTGTTCCTTTTCATTCACGAAATCTAAAAGTGTTAAAAATATGACGCCTTGAGAGACTTTTTTCGAAACACTGGTTTTTAGTACATATGATTTTCCATAATCAATCTCTAACTAATTCTAAGGTATTACATAAATTGTCTTCAAAACTATTCCATAAATAGTTTTTTAGACCAAATATTACAATTTTTTCCACAAAAGTCCCTAAAGGACCGAATATGGAATAGTTATAAAAATTGAGGATCATTTATGTGATATCTTAAAATTAGGGACTAAATATGAAAAACTATATGTAATTAGGAACCATTTATGGCTCTTGAAGAGGAGGAAACCGCTGAGACTAGGGTTCTTGTTCTTTTCATTCACTTATGCGTGATATTTCCATGCATCACGAGCACGGGTGGAATGGCTCATGAACACGCGGAAAGCATTTGACCGAATGGGTGATATGGCTATGGCAGTGTGGGGTGAACAACAGCACCGCGATTAAAGTCTCAAGGCACGTCGCCTTGCACGATCAAAGGTACACAACTAATTAATCACATTTGGCCACAATACCATTAGTCCTCCATCCATCTCAAGTTTTATCATTAACACTGTACTCTTGAATCTCTATGGAACTGTATGAATACATTAGAAAATACCTTCCATATCATCAAACAAGTAGTGTAAAAACGAACACCTTCAGATTGATCCTGGAGAGGAGAGAAAAATATTGGAAAAACAAAAGAAGGCATCACTGGAAAATGTTAACAACACTTTGAGGCTGCATGTTCTTGTGTTACAGAAAAAGGATATAATGCGAAGAAAAGCAGAAGATGAGAAGAAAAGGATCATTACCCGGCTACTCACAACAGAGGGACTTGAGCTTGAAGATGAAGATGATGGGGATGATGATAAAAGTTTAATTTGTAATATTATACAGAACATACACACCATTACTTGGAGGTGTATACTTGCTTTGTCTATATTATTGTATAAAGAAAATGAAAGCAGTACAAGGGTTGCCACTTGCAACATTTTTCTAAGGAATGAGGTTGTCCGTATATAATGTAAACCGTATGAAGTTTTAGGAAGTAAACATAATAGTGCATCAGGGGTCTAATGAAAATGGTCTTTCTGTTTTCTACATGGGCAAGATTGTACTCCGTATATATCTAGTCTTTCAAGTTCCAAGGCTCAAACTAAGTTGAAATTATATTAGGTTTGTTGTACTATACTAAATCATACGAAACGTAGATTTCTACATTTTTAAATATTTTTTCTCATATATGACAAGCACATATTGAGAATTGGTCCAACTTTCTCCATGTCTCAATAGTCAATATGATGTTTTTTTATCCGCTAGGGTGGTAGTACAAATTAAGCTAGGTCATTTATCGCAATAATCAACAGTTATGCAACAAATTGGCTAATTGCCCTACTTTAAATTAACAGCAATAGCAAGTTAGATGGTTATATATGATGAGTAACACGAATCTATGAATTTGAACACGAATCTATGAAGAAGATCAATACTGATCAAAGGGCATCTGGGCATGTAAGTTAAACAAAAATAAAATGGATTCGTGTATCATTGGACTTTAAGTTAAAAAAACTTGAAACATCTAATAGTAATATCGTAAGATGTGTTCACATCAACAAACAACATTAACTCAGTGCAAGGCTCCTAGTCATTGCGGGGTAAGGGGCCAAATGTACGCAATCTAACCCCTATGTTTAAAACATTGAACGGTTGTTTCCGGGTTACCCATAGTGAACATCAATAGTTATGTGTGTTCACGTAAAACTCGAAAATATAAATAAAAATACTGATCCATTTGGTATTATAAGGCTATTATTTATGAAATTCAGCTGAATATACTCCGTATAACCCTTTTTTTTAGAAAATAATACTCCGTATAACCAAAATATCAATAATTTTAACATCAGATTATACTCTCCATGTATCCCACAAAAACGTTTTTGCATTTATTTTAAAGGTTTGTCTCAAAATAAGATTATAACTCCCCTTTAAGGAGTGAATTATGTGATTCACATTATTTCTCTCCCTGCATAAATCTTAACCACACAATATCAATTCTCTTAATTATTGTGTTGATTCTAATATGAAACCTTATTTTGCAACCGAGGGAGTAGAGCTTTTCTTGAAATTTATCCGTTTTTGTGGAGATAAGCATTTACTGGCGCATATTTGATGACCTAGCTTGATCAATTGATAATATGTTTATCAATTTGATAACTTCTTATAAAGAAACACCATGATAAGTAACAAATTGAGATCAGAACCCCCACAGTAACATTCAAGTTTGAGTTCTAGATTCCAGTTCGTTAAAAACATTCACAAACAGCATAGGGAAGAATGCCATAAAATATAATGATCTCTCATACCTCTCATTGGCAAGAAGATAGTCACCAAATGTACTTAACGTCCCACTATTTTCTTGTACGACTCATACATGCCAGACAACACATCTTTATAGGGAAGCAGTAATGTCTTCACAAACTTTGACTCTGAGCAGACTATGATGACGTAAAGAGAGGGCATGGTGATATCCAGATTCTTCTCCTTCAAAGCGTTAAATACATCAACCCTCGGCATCACTCTCTTCTCCAGACTATAAGACAGAACGGGCCGAGTGGACATGTAATCCGGTTTCCACCCAAGCGTGTTCATGAAATAGTCCAGCTTCTTTTGAATGTTACCCTCTGAGAGGGCAAAATAACAGGGTTGATGCTGAAACATAGCGATAATTTCTGAATCAGACCATCCGAAACTCCTAAAGATTGCACATTTTTTGTCAATTGACAGCTTACTCAATCTGGCCATTGCATATACTCCATAGACGAACAAGGATGAGCCGCGAACAATTCCGAAATCGTTCTCCAGTATGCTCACCTTCTCCTCGAACCATTTGCGTTGAAAGTTCAAAGAGTCCGGCTTGCTAGCTATAAACCACCTAATCTGCTTATTTGAAAGGCCAATCTCCTTAAAATAGGAAGCAATTTCCAGCATAGCCTGATTGGCAACAAGAATCCAAGGGTAAGACTTTATTGTCTTGCGCAAATCCTCATCGCTACCAAATAAGAGCCTGAGGGAAGCTATACTGGGCTTGATGATCGAATCTAATCCCCTCCCAAGAATGTCCGGACCCTTCGTGAGGATATCGGCGAGATCCGAATCGGAAAGCCCTAGTTCCCGGAGACATTCGAGTTTGGGGATTAGGTTTTTGTCGGCGTCGAAGTACAGCAATCTGGGGTATTTGGAGACGCAGTTCCTTATCTGGGTCGAATCGAGGCCGATTCTTCGCAGACTATCGAGGACTAGAACGGGACGGGTCGTGGATGAATAGCGGGTTACCTTGGCGGATATCGAGGTGGATTCTTCTCTGGAGAATCCGAGTGAGTTGGTGAGGAACTCCGTCACGAACGAGGGTTCAGTTTCTGCTCCGGTAGTAGTAGCAGTGGTGGAGTAGAGAAACTTGAAGAAAGGGAAGAACAGCTCCCGGCGGACGCCATTGCAGCGGCGCCCAAGCTTCACACTAAGCATGGGGCGTGCGAGTTGCGACCCAATTGTCCCAGAGTGATTGAGTGGTTGTCCAATTCTTTTCTCCCTCTATACCTTTTCTCACTTTTTTTTAAGGAGTACTAACTTAAGCATTTTGACTCATCAAATTCTCTCAATGTGTAAGCCTAAATATAGTTATGTGTGATCTTGTTTGATTTGTCTTAACATATAGATTATTAATATATAATTTCTATAATTTTTTAATATACAAATTATAAGATAAAATAGATTTAAAAAGTGCATTAGATGGTGTGTCAAAAGGTAAGTGGACAAAGAGAATGAGATGGAGGGAGTATATAAAAGGAGGATGGTATATTATTCTTACGTCCTTAAACAATCATTTGAAAAACTCAAATTAGGAGACTCTTTGATTATGAATTATAAAAAACATATACTCCTTCCGTCCCAAAAAGTCTTTCCAGTTTCATTTTTTACGTATAAGTAGCAGCTCTGTATCACTTTCTTGATTGATTTTCATCTTCTCCATTCATGTAAGTTTGAAGCACAATTATGAGACAATTTCTATTTTCGTTCTTCATCTTCCTATCTTCTCTCTCTCAGTAGATTGAGAAATCCAACACTCTATAGATGAATTAAGAAAGTACTTCGTAAAAGACTTCTAATCTGATACTCGTGTAGTACGTTTTTTATAGGATGGGAGAATATTTAAATCATTTAACCACGTTTGGTTCGATCAGATGATGTTTGTGGCATGGACCGAGACGTCATCAGCAACCATAGAATGCGCAAAAAATGAAACAGGAAAGACTTTTTTGGACGGAGGGAGTATTTAATTATAATGTACTTAGTAAAAATGAATTTATTTTTAAAAATAGTTTTGAAATATTAAACTTTTATATTATTTTAAAATATGCTATGTATTTAATTTATGATCAAATGGTGCTACAATTTGACTAAAAAATCAAACTATGACAATTTTTTTATTAGGGGGAGAGTAGCATATATAGTGTGATACACCATATCAAAGACTATCAATACACCAATTATTTATTTTTTTTACTTTTTTAATGTTTGACCTATAATTAAATAAAATCAAATATTATCTTAATTAGAAAATTTATTCTTTAACATAAATATAATACAATTATTCTTGTATCAATATCTAATTCAAATAGACAAATATTCTTGGCGGAGGTAGTAATAAAAAACGATAAAATGCCAAGTTGTGATGTAGTAAAATGTCAATGGTCCTATTTAAGTAATACAAATATAAGAATTATGATTTTGGTATAAATTAAACATTTTAGTCGTATTAGAATGATTCTTTAATGTTGCATACTTTTAAGAATAGAAGAAAAATGAGATTTCAAAGAGCATATTGTATGTGTAGTTAGTACTCATTTTATTAAAAAAATTATTGAGTCCAAAGTTTAATAAGATTCATTATAAATTTTTAAATGTTGCACGGGCATTTCTATATTATTAAATTCAAATCATTTTTCCATGATAATAAATGAGATGCAATAGAATATAGAGATTATATTATTTTAAGATAAAAAACATCATTGCTTTACAAATTTTGAAAAATTTCTTTATAGACTATATTATTTGTACAATTTGTGAGAATATTGTCTTCATTGCATATTAAAATCTTCAAGCCACTACGATTAGTTACTCTTGAAACTGCAACATAGAGCGGTGCATGACTTAACACATCAATAGTGCGAACCTCTCATCAATATTTTTTAAAGCGGTTATGATCCCCGTGTTCGTACAAAAGGCGATGTTGAAGCACTGAATAGAAACACACGTTGAATAATCTTATTACCTTGGCCTGGAAAAGGATCGTATTTATAGTATATAATTCTAATAGACTAATTATAGTAAGAAGGGTGAAAATTTTTTGAATCTGCGTGTATAATTATTCTTACCATAATTATTTTTTCTCGAAACTGAGTATATAATTATTCTTACCATAATTATATTATACTATAATCATTGATTCCAATTTCCAATTTCCTAGCCACACGGTTATACATAATTAATTATTTTCAATTTCCAATTTCAAATTGTTGATTCCAATTTTAATAAAAATTTACGCGTTCCAGTTTTATAACTTATCAAGTCACACGTTATACAATCAATACGTTTGTTAATTATTACCTTTTTTAATTATTTCCAATTTTAATAACGTAATAATAATAACGCTTTTAAACATATTTTGGATTTTAGGTATTTTGGATTTTTGGATATTACCTTTTTTAATTATTTCCAATTTCAAATCGTTGATACCAATTTTAATAAAAATTTACGCTTTCCAATACAGTAACTTACCTTTTTTGCTAGTATAATTTTGGACACTTTAAAAATGACAGTTAATTATTCTTACCATAATAACGTTGGTTAATTATTACCATATAATACTTTGATTCCATTTTAATTAAAAACTTACGCTTTGCAATTTTATAATTTACCTTTTTTAATTATTTCCACTTTCAATAAGTTGATTCCAATTTTAATAAAGTAAAATTGTATTAACTTCAATACGTTAGTTATTATAAAATAATAATTTTATTAACTTCACGCTTTCCATTTTATATTACTATAATTTCGGACATTTACCATTTAATTTCTTAATTGTCATATGTAATGGACATACTTCGTGCACGGGTTAAAAATGGACACTATAATTTCGGACACTTACCATTTATATAGGTAATAATTAAACGGAGTAATAACTATTACATTTTTTGGTTATTACCTTTCTTGATATTAAACATAAATATAAAAATATATAAATAAAGGGTTTTACCGTATTATTTTTTTCAAAACTGTGTATAATTATTCTTACCATAATTATATTATACTATAATCATACACACGTTTTTAATAACATTGATTAGCGTGTATTAAATTTTTTTAAATATTTTTTATAAATAATTTTTGTCTATTTTATAAATATTTTTTATAACTTACCTTTCTTGCAAGTATAAATATCGGACACTTTAAAAATGACAGTTAATCATTATAAATATAATATAATAATTATACTTATAAAACGTAAATTATATATTACTATAATTTAGAACACTTACCATTTTAACTTCACATTACCATATGTGATGGCCATACTTTTTAGGCGGGAAAATGCAGTATTTACTTCATGTCTTTTTAAATAAAGTATGGATCAAAAATCTACCTATATTCAAATAGAATTCTAAAATGTCTTTTATTAATTCTATCAAAGTTTAAAGGTTTTTAATTCAAATTTTTAATATGAATATGCTTCATAGATCAAAATAATTTCCCATGCCACATTACATCATAGTCATTATACAAAGATCATCACCCCTCTTCAACATAAAAGGTGAGTTGAGTTAATTAATTTGTAATTACAAAACATATATGGATACCAAACACAATACAACCAATAACTCTCTCTAGATTTCACAGTATAGACCAAAACTTATCTCGCTTAGATCAAAACCAATCAGATCAGGTGAAAAGAACATGTCTTTGATGTCTCTAGATTTCAACCACAAAATTTGTGGCTCGAACATTCAGGGTTTGTATAGCTTTCCGTCATTTGAAGCATATACAACTAACTATATGCTTAAAAATAAGAGACGTTGGGAGTATATTTTTAGAAAATATAAATATACACGCTACAAATTGCATGAGCTTCAAAGAAAGATGCACGAATTTACACGCTACAAACCGTCGATCACTACCTAAAGGCTCCGGAGAAATGACATGTCTTTGTACTTCTTGATTGATAAAAAAGTTGCAACTTAATCTCTATCACCAAACTCTTCACCCTATTCTTCTCAAGAGAAAAACACCTGCTGCACCAACAATTAAATCCATCAAAGTAGTGAGTTATAGAGAACACAGGACAATTGAACATTGCTAGAACTGGAATCAACTTAAGCATTTATCTATCATGCCAAGACAAGTTTTACTGAATCTAAGAATGAGATATAATTTGGATTCAAGATATAGAATCAACTATAAATAATCACAACAAACATATAGACATACAATAACAGGTAAAAATTAGGCCAACGCACAGCTTTAAATAACAAGTAGCAAATTAGAGGGTTACAATAGCAAGTAAAAATTAGGTCATTGCTAAACTTTAAACAACAAGTAGCAAGTTAGAGGGTTACAATATCATGAGTAACACTTTTACTTTACAACTAATGATTCCAAGAGATAGTAATCGACAATAAAAATAACCCCATAGTGACTCGGGAAGAAATAAAGTAAAACCAAGAGTAGGAATGCACCTTGAGTGTGGTCTCACATTTCAATTCACATACTGGAAAACGAAGAATGTGATATAATGATCGATCTATCGTCCGACTTTGCTCTTGTATGACTCGTATAAGTCAGGCATCACATCTTTATATGGCAGAAGGTATTTTGCTTCAAACTTTGACTCCGCTAAGCATATGATGGCATACAAAGAAGGCCGCTTCTTCTCCTTCAACGTGTGGGTGACAACCTCGATCCTTGGAATCACCCTCTTCTCCAAACTATAACTCAGAAAAGGTATAGCGGACATATAAGCTGGTTTCAAACCCAGTTTGTTCATGTAATAATCCAGTTTCCTTTGAATGCTGGCCTCAGATAGTGCAAAATAATTAGGTTGAGTACTAAACGTAGTGACTATCTCCGACTCAGACCATCCAAAACTCCTAAAAATCGCAAGTTTTCTTTCCATCTTCGATTTACTTAGATTAGATGTCGCACGAACTGCGTAGAAGAGCTTGCTGGAGCCACGAGGAAGGCCGAAATCATTTACCAGCATATCCACCCTCTCCTGAAACCATCTTGTAGGATAGCAAAAAGGCAATGACATGATACTTATAAACCGCCTAATCTGATCAATCGAAAAGCCAAGCTCCTTAAAATACGAAATATTTTTCGGCACGAACCCACTATGAAGCAGCCAAGGAAATGACTTTATTGTACTGCGCAAATCCTCAGTGTTACCACCAAATATATCTGCGAGGGCAGCTACATTGAGTCTGATGTTAGTGTCCAGACCACCAGAAAATATTTCCGGAGCTTTAACAATAATCTCTGTGAGATCCGAGGAGGAAAACCCAAGTTCCTGAAGAAACTCGAATTTGGGGGATAGGGTTTTGTCAATATCGAAGTATAGCAATCGGGGAAACCTGGAAACGCATTTTTTTATCTGGCTCGTATCGAGACCGATTTCCTTCAGAACATCTACGACTAGACTGGGCTTTGTTCTGGACGAGTAACGGATCACCTTGGCGGCTATCGTGGCCGATTCTTTTCGGGAGAATCCGAGGGAGTCGGCGAGGAACTCCGGCAAGAACGAGCTCGGGGCCAGTGAAGTTTCTCTTCCGTCCGTAGGTGTAGAGCAGTAAGACCTGGAAATGAAGAACAGCTCCCGGCCGGTGCCATTGCAGCAGCTTCCGAGCGTCAGACCAAACATGGTTGGTCAATCGATCGGGGAAAAAGAAGATGATCGGTATCCGCGGAATTTGCCACGCGATTTGCGTTGTTGAAGGGTTGGGAATTCGGAGATGATCGGATCGAATGGGACAGGATATTTTCTAATCTCAAATTGAGTGGTTCTTTTCTTCTCCAACAAAGTTTGGACGAAATGCTATTGTAGAAATAATTATTTACTCCCTTCCTCTACAATTTGAGTATAATTTTTTTCTCTACTTTCAATAACTTTTATTTATTTATGTGATTTTATTAAGTATTTGATAAAATAAAATATTTTTGTTATCTCTTGTTTTGTATTCCCTCTGTTCTCAAAAATTCTTCCTCTTTCATTTTTTTACTTCCAGCAAAACACTTCCATTTTCTATTAAAAAACCACTTTTACCCTTGCTTTTTCTTACCCTACCTATTACATCATATTTTTTCTCTAATACTCAATCCATCACATTTTACTTTTACCCATCACATCAAAGGTAAAATTAGAAGTCAACTATAATTTAACACTTCCTTATTTTTACACAACGTCAAAATAGGAACATTTTTATAGAACGGAGGTAGTAGAAGTTTTGACGTAGTTTTTTTAATATGTATTTTTTTTCTTATTAATATACAAATTTATAAATAAAATGATTTCAAAAATAGACAAATTTTTCCTCGTAAGCCCGAAGTTATAATCAAATTAGAGATGATTATTCTATCCATCAAGTAGAGAGGATAGCTGGAGATACTTAATGATTATTATTTCCCAACAAAGAGAGTAGAAAATTAGTCGGGATATACTTTGAGGGTCTTTCAAATTTGTGTTAATGTACTTAGAATACATCTCATTTATTTGACTGCTAGGGTTAAACATTCTGTTACTTTGATCAATCAAACACCAAAATATTTATTCCAAATACGTCACATATATTTTCTGCTAAAAACTCACAGGTCTCATATTGTTAAATTTGATGTTGAATAATCATTATTTTATTAAGTTTTGATAAATTATTTTCAATTTCTAAGTTAAATACGAGTAAATATAATTTTAGTTGTTATTATTTATATTTTCTTAACAAAAAAAATTATTTTAAATCATTAAAAAAATTATTTAAACGTTTAAATTTAACAAATAAAGTATTTATAATTTAAAATTCTAAAACTATTCATATAAAAAAGTAGTTATAAACTTATAAATATTTGAAAATTGTGTATATGTATAATAAAATTATAGATTTAAATTAAAATGTTATAAAATATGTATAATAAAATTATAGATTTAAATTAAAATGTTATAAAATATGTATAATAAAATTTAAAAAACAAATGAATAAATGTTTTGAAATAAAATATGTATTTCAGACAAAAATTTAACAAAATAACTTAATTTTATAAAGTAAACATATTAAAAATTTGTAAATGCTTTTATTTTAAAAAATATAAAGTTTATAAAATATTTTTAAAGTAATAAAATATATTTTGTATTTCAAAATTTTTTTGTACAGTGTTTTAATAACATCTAAGATAATAGTAATTATTCAACTTAGAAGTTGAATGATTTAATTAAAATTTAATAAAATGATGATTATTCAATTTAAATTTAATAATATGAGACCTTCAATTCTTAGGTCAAAACACCTCCGAGTGTTTGATTAATCAAAGTAACAAAAGTTTCGATCATAACAGTCAAATCAATAAAATGTACCCTCAGAGACTACATTACCACGAATTTTTAGGACTCCAAGAGCGTATTTCACATAATGTGAGAGCTGGAAATTTTTATCAAAAAATCGAAGGTACCTTGAAGTTATTTTCTGAAAAATTAAATGTGACTAAAATGATGTGTTTTCACAATTACATGAGCTTAAGATGAGCTCAAATGAAGACAAAGCATCTTATCAAGCATTCATAGATACTCCGTATTTTGTTTTATGAGCTTTTATAATGGCCCAAATTTTGAAATTATGTCTCATAAAAAAAATAAGATGAGCCCCAACCCCGATGATATCTCAAGCCCTGGCCGAACAATCATTAAAAGGAGGTGAATTATGTCTCATAGATTATACTCCCTCCGTTTCTTAAAATCCTTTCTCTTTCATTTTTTTTGTTTTTCTTAAAACACTTCCCCTTTCTATTAAAAAACCATTTTAACCCCTACTTTTTCATACCCTACCTATCACATCATACTTTTTCACTAACAACTAAACTATCACATCTTACTTTTACCCATCACATTAAGGGCAAAATTGGAAAGTCAACTACAATTTAACACTTCCTTATTTTCCCCCAAAGTCAAAAGAGGAACTCTTTTGAGAAACGGAGGTAGTATGAGTATCTGCCTTTGTGCATGAACTTTGGGTCAATATCTCCATAAACTTTGACTTGGGTTTACCTCGAGCAAAGTTAGAACTCAATTTTTGTTGGAGTTGATTGGTTTAGTAAAATGACACACTGCATTGATTGTCACAAAGTTGATGATGCTTCACATATTGCAAACTTTATTTTTCAAAGAAATTGTATGGAAGAAATAAAGGAGAAATTGTGTCTGATCGAGAAACTAAGTTTCTTATCCACTTCTAGAGGGTGTTGTGGGATAATTTGGGCACAAGATTTGTTTTACCAAAAAATCCACTTTCACTTTTCTCATAAAATACTTCCATTTTTCTTCTTTTTGGAATTGTGAAAGAAAAAAAATACTCTACAATAGAGATGGTTAATCCTTGAGAAGGCTCACACACAAATCAAGAAACACGGCAAGAGCAATGGGCCGCGAACCAGGAAGGGGGGGAACATGTATTGTTTGGATTCCTGAAATCTTACGTGTGGAGATTTCAAGTCCGAGAGGAACGAGCCCGAAATGTGTTTATGTGATGAAATGAATTTATGGGATGCAAAGTGATGTGTGATTGAGAAATAAAATCTCAAAGTGCGCCATTAAAGCGAGGCCAAGCTTGCAGTTCAATACATATGCATATGGACATCAGACATACAGCATTATAATATCACAAGTCTAACTAAAGATTATAAGTGACATTAATCAACAATAATTATAACACCATAGTGACAAGGGAAAGAACAGAAGTAAAACAGAAATTAGGAATGTGCTTGAGTGTGGTCTCATTACTTACAATCACAATCTGGATAGCGAAGAATGTCATATGATGATTGATCTATCATCCGATTTTGCTCTTGTAAGACTCGTATATGCCAGGCACCACATCTTTATAGGGAAGAAGGTATTTCTTTTCAAAATTTGATTCTGTCAAGCATATGATGGAATAAAAAGAGGACCGCTTCTTCTCCTTCAAAGTGTTGGTGACTACCTCAATCCTCGGAATCACCCTCTTCTCCAGACTATAAGTCAAGAAAGGTCGAGTTGACATATAAGCAGGTTCCAAACCCAGATTGTTCATGTAATAATCCAATTTCCTTTGAATGTTGGCCTCCGAGTAGGCAAAATAATTGGGTTGGGTATGAAACATGGTGACGATCTCCGATTCAGACCACCCAAAGCTCCTAAAGATTGCAACTTTTTTGTCCATCTTTGATTTACTGGCGCAACATGTCGCGTAGAGTCCATAGAAGAGCTTAGGGGAGCCACGAAGAATGCCGAAATCGTTTTCCAGAATATCCACCCTCTCCTGAAACCATCTAGTAGGATAGCAAGAAGGGCGTTGCCTATAAGAGACAAACCGCCTAATCTGCTCAATCGAAAAGCCAATCTCCTTGAAATAGGAAATATTTTCAGGCAAATACCTACAACAAAGCATCCATGGAAATGACTTTACTGTCCTGCGCAGATCCTCTGTGTTGCCACCATACACTTGTAAGAGGGAAGCAACATTGGGCCTGAGGTTGGTGTCCAGGCCCATAGAAAAAATCTCCGCGGCTTTAACGATAATGTGGGCGAGATCCGAGGAGGAAAACCCGAGTTCCTGAAGAAACTCGAATTTGGGGGTTAGGGTTTTGTCAACATCGAAGTAAAGCAATCTGGGGAACCTGGAAACGCATTTTCTAATCTCGCTCGAATCGAGGCCGGTCCCCTTCAGAATATCTACGACCAGAACGGGCCTAGTTCTCGACGAATACTTGATTACCTTGGAGGCTATCGAGGTCGATTCTTTCAGGGAGAATCCGAGGGAGTCGGTGAGGAACTCCGGCAAGAACGAGCGCGGTGCCGGCGCAGTTTCTCTACCGTCGGTAGAGGTAGAGCAGTAAGACCTGGAAAAGAAGAACAGTTCTCGGCCGGTGCCGTTCCAGCAGCTTCCGAGCGTCAGTCCGAACATGGTGAAAAAATAAATTCAGGGGATCGGGTTTCCGCGGAAATTTGAATGGTGGGATCGGAAGCGATAGGTTATAAAGCAGATTGGATAAAGTTTATCCGAAAATGAGTGGTTTTTAGACTGAGAATATCGTACTTGTACACTTTATATATACTCCTCATATTAGCTTTCCCCTCCTTCGTTTTCTTTCTATTTATAAATTATAAGGGCAACTCCAAAAAAAGGGTATCTGAGAGGGTAAAAGACTAATAATTGTGATATATACCTTTTTTTTTAAATCATTCTCTAATAGAAGAGTTAAATAAAAAGACATTATACTTTTTTAAATTTTAAAAAGGTATCTTTACCTTCTTCATTTGGGGAGGTATATCAATTTTTTCCATCTTTTAAATTTCTACCAATTACTTTGTAATTGTAAAATATAACGAGTCGAAAATTAACAAAAAAAGGATACTTTGTTTTTTTAATTTTGTACTCTATATTTTTAAGCTTTTTTCTACTCGGGTATTTATAATTTTACATGTGCAATTGGACATTATGTATATTTAATTATTTGACAACTGACATTCTAATTTTTTTTGAATAAATTAGTTGGATTTTTACAAAATCTTTTAAGTTAAAAAAATTAATCAAGAAGAAACAAAGGCAACAAACCTCAAATTTACCTCCCTTTGACTTTTTTTAAGAAGGTATATTTTCTTTTCTAATAATTAAAATTTGATTTAAGAAGGTAAATCAACTAATTTTTTCCCATTAATGTATGCAGATGGATTTTTTCTTCTTTTGCTTTTTAATTTATCTTCTCCCATTGGAGTTGCACACTTTTTGGGAAGGTAAATTTGATCACTTGGAGAGATAAATGAGATATATACATCTCCAAGATACCTCCCACTATTGGAGTTGCTCTAAGAGTTGTTTTTGACATGTTTCTTTGTGCTTATAAGCTATTTATAAGTCGGAAAAAATAGGTCTTACTTACTTATTTTTAAGTCAGTTTTTTTTTCGTTTTTTCGTTTTGACCAGATTACTTACAAAATTATGATTCACCTATTATGACTATCTCCAAATGACTTATATATCATTTAAATCATTTTATCTGCACAAAAGAATTTTTAACTTATAAGCCGCTTATAAGTTGAAAAACTACTTATAAGTTATAATCCAATAAGCACTAGTACAGAGAAACATCCACAGTATATTTAATTTTTTGTGAAATTAAAGTGAAAAAATTAATTTTGAAATAGATGGAGTACTTAGTTAATAAAAACGAACGAGTTACTAAGTCATCACTCATTCACTCATCACCATTCTACACTAAAAAAATTTATATTTCACTAAGAAAAAGATTATTCCCTAACATGTAGTTGATGTACAAAACAATTGTATAGATGATTGTGAAGTAGAATATCTGTTTGGAAACGAAAAAAGAACAAATGTCTTTGACAAATTATTTTTGTTTGCATTTGAACTAAAGATTCAAAGTGAAGGTGGAGGGACGACTGTCCTACCAGATTTGCTTCATTGAAATGTCAAAGGAACTTGAGGGCCTCTCCTACCTCATTTCTCATAATAAAAAGAGGTAAAACCAAATGCAGGGACTGTCCTACAAACTCCATACCGAAGAATATTGTTATATTATTATGACAGACTCGAGAAAGTATTAACACGAACAATCAACAATCACGAAAATGACAGAGATTTAACGTGGTTTACTAACAACTTGTTAGTAATCTCCACGGACAGAAAAGAAAATATTATTGATCAGTACTTTCTCACGAGATTACAGATTTTCTCTACTATGGATTGAGGAGTACAAATACAAACCATATATATAGGGAAGGGGATATGGGTAATCCTAATCCTACTACATATATGAATATGAGACTAAGAAAATATAATCCTAATCTTATTCCTAGTCCTAATCCTGATAGGTCTAGAATACAGATTCAAGACATTTTCTAACAAATCTCCACCTTGACTTGAATCTCCTCAAAAGACAGCAGATGTATCAGATTTCCTTCCAGAAGTGACCAGATGTACCGTAGGTACCAGAAGTCCAACCAAGGACGCAAATGTCACTAAAAGACAGGAACAGATTGTTTCACTTGAGTTCAAAAGTGTTGTGACACACCAAAACAGAATTCCCTCATTCATGGGAACAGATAACTCAAGCTAAAACACCAATAGATGCAAACTCCACCTTGAGTCCAAATGACTCTTCATGGAACCTAAACAGAAATAGATGACACCAACCTAGTATCCAGATGACTCCTCCTGAAGCCCAGATTGCCCTTCATGGGCTCAAATTGCCCCATACGGGCCAGATCCCCCCTCCTGGGGCGCAGATTGCCTCATTGAGGCGTAGAAACAAATGATTCTTCAAGGTGATCAACAGTCTCAATCCGTGCAGATGGAACCTCCACCTCAACATCAAGACTTTCATCACCTCTATGAATCTCAGATGATGCAACAATGACAGATCCTTATAGAAGATATAAGGTACCATGCTTAATACCTTTCAGAACCACCTTCGAATCCTTGTAGACACTCATAACTCCACCTTTACCTTCGAAACTGAAACCCTTACTGTCAAGACAAGTCAAGGATATCAGATTCTTCGTCATCTGTGGAACATGCCTAACTTTATTCAAGGTGCAAAATGTACCATCATGAGTCCTCAACTTGATGGAGCCTATTCCAACTACCTTGCAGACAACTCCGTTGGCCATGGAAACATCACCCTCGTCTATCTGCTCATAAGTTGAAAACAACTCCCTATATGGACTAATATGATACGACGCCCCATAATCAAGAACCCACACATCCTTACAATGTGTTTGGTTATTGACAAATAGAACCAGATCTTCTTCAGAGTTTGTATCATCAGCTTCTGCCATAGTTGCAGAACCGTGAGCATCCTCGATCTTGTCCTTTTTCTGCATCTTCTGCTTTCAAACTTCTAATGCCCTGGTTCCGTAACAGATAGTCCTGATGCCTGATTATCTCAAATTTGTTCAGATAAACAACCAAATTTTCTCCAAGGATCAACCAGAAAACGGAGTACTCATCAAATCAGCCCAAAAGCAAAACAGCCCAAAAAAAAATTCACAGTCCCTTTCCTTTACTTTTTTCACATGCACCTGCCAAAAAAATTTTCCTCTTTTCCTCTTCGCAGGAAACGGCGGCTTTGGACGGTGATTGGAGAATGACACCTGCGGCAGTTCTTCTGGGCAGCAGCGGCAACGGTGTTCACCCTCGCTCCTGCGCGTCTCTCCACTGGATCGCAGCTCCTGCCGGTGCCAAATGGCCTACACAACGGCGATCTTTAGCGGCAAAAGATCAGGACGACGATGGCCGGTTGTGCGACGGCCCCTCTGCGGCGGCGTTTGAACGGATCAGCGGCTGCTCTTGTGCTTCAACTTGACGACGCGAGTACCGGTGGTGGCGGAATTGCACTCGCGCTGGCACGCGGCTTGACTGCACGCGAACCGCGGAAACAATCTGCGGCTTCCTGCTCTCTGGTGACGACGGCGGCTTGGACCTCTGCGCACAGTGCGACAGGCGACGGTGACACGATCTGGACGGCGGCGGCAGGACTGGATTAAATGGGCAATGTCAAGATCTCCTCTCAGATCGGACAATGGAAATCTCAGATCTCCCTTCCCGGCTGCTGAACATGCACAGATCCGAAAACCCTAGGCGACAAACTTCTCGCGATTTGTGTTCTGTGTTGAACAACTAGGCTCTGATACCAGTTTGTTATGACAGACTCGAGAAAGTATTAACACGAACAATCAACAATCACAAAAACGGCAGAGATTTAACGTGGTTTACTAACAACTTGTTAGTAACCTCCACGGACAGAAGAGAAAATATTATTGATCAGTACTTTCTCACGAGATTACAGATTTTCTCTACTATGTATTGAGGAGTACAAATACAAGCCATATATATAGGGAAGGGGATATGGGTAATCCTAATCCTACTACATATATGAATATGAGACTAAGAAAATATAATCCTAATCTTATTCCTAGTCCTAATCCTGATAGGTCTAGAATACAGATTCAAGGCATTTTCTAACAAATATAATACCCCGTATAATGATCTATCGTCACCTCACTCGACGATTCGACGAATGCCACCTGCAATATACTTACCTTCCGACTTTTTTCTTGTATGACTCGTACATGCCAGGCAACAGCGCATCCTTGTACGGAAGGAGTCCTTTTTCAAACTGTGACTCCATTAGGCGGAGGATGCCATATAGAGAAGGCAGCTTCTTGTCCTTCAAGGCATTGACTACCTCAGTCCTCGGAATCACTCTCTATCTTCTCCAAACTATAAGTCAGAAGAAACTGAGTTGACATATAAGCTGGTTCCCAAGCCAACTTGTTCATGTAATAATCCAACTTGTTTCGAATGTTGGCCTCTGAGAGTGTAAAATAACAGGGTTGGGTATGAAACGTAGTGACTATCTCCGATTCAGACCACCCAAAACTCCTAAAGGTTGCGACTTTTTTGTCCATGTTCGATTTACTCACATTAGACATTGCCAGTACTCCATAGAAGAACATAGGGGAGGCACGGAGAATGCCGAAATCGTTTTCCAGCATATCCACCCTCTCCTGAAACCATTTGGTGGGATAGGTCATAGGTTGTGTCCTGATCGATAGTCATAAACCACCTGATCTTGTCAATCAAAAAGCCAAGCTCCTTAAAATAAGAAACATTTTCCAGCACAACCCGACAACGAACAGCACAAAGCAGCCAAGGATACGACTTTATTGTCTTGCGCAAATCGTCGGTGTTACCGCCAAATATTTGTGCGAGGGCAGCTAGGTTGGGTCTGAGGTAAGTATCCAGCCCGGCGGTTAAAATGTCAGCACCTTTTGCAAGAATGCCGGCGAGATCCGAGGTGGAAAACCCTAGTTCCTGAAGACACTCTAATTTGGGCCTTAGGGTTTTCTGGACATCGAAGTAGAGCAATCTGGGGACTCTGGAAACGCATTTTCTTATCTGGCTCGAATCGAGACCGGTTTGCTTCAGAATATGGACAACTAAAACGGGTCTTGTTCTCGATGAGAATTTGATTACCTTGGCGGCTACCTTGATCGATTCCTTTTTGGAGAATCCGAGAGCGCCAGTAAGGAACTCCGGCAAGAAGGAGCTGGCGAGGGGAGAGGTTTCTCTTCCGGCGGTAGCTGTAGAGTAGGAAGACCTGGAGATGAAGGCGCCAATGCAGCAGCTTCGTCCCAAGGTCACACCAAACATGGTCTCTACCATCTCCAATGCGAGGAGTTAAAAACAGAGTTAACAAATTCATTTTTTGAAAGGAAATTTATCTAAAAATAACTTTGACAATGTATTATTATATACTCCCGCCGTCCCACTGTCTTTGTCCACTTACCTTTTGGCACACCATTCAATACATTTCTTTAATCCATTTTATCTTGTAATTTGTATATTAAAAAATTATAAAAATTATATATTAATAATCTATATGTTAAGACGAATCAAACAAAATCACACATGACTATTTTTAGGCTTACACATTGAGAGAATTTGATGAGTCAAAGTACTTAGATAAACAGTTTCAAAAGTTAAAAGTGGACAAAGACAATGGGACGGAGGTAGTACTTTTATTTTTTGATGGGATATCACTGGTCATTATTTAAATAAATGTTCAGCATCACTAGATATCAGTCAAATTAAATGTTCAACATTACTAGACATTATTTCCGTCACTAAACATTACTCAAGTACAATTTATGGAATAAAATAATTTAAGTGCTACATTATGAAAGGACATATGTTTAGGACTATTTAGTGCAAATTTCACTTTTTTTAAACTTCAATGGGTAAGCTATACTCCCTCCGTCCTAAAACTTTTTTCCCAGAACACTATTCTAACTTCACGAGAATTTGTATTTATTTGTGTTTTTTCATGGCCTATATGATAAAATAAAATATTCTTGTCACCACTTGTTTTGTTGAATTTTTGATGTAGTTTTTAAATATGCATGTTTTATTTTTTATTTCTATACCAATATTTAAATAAAATAGATTGAAAAAACTTGGGATTTTTCTTCGTTTTACGCAACGGGAAGAAAGTTTTATGACGGAGGGAGTATTTTTTTAGCTAGGCCTCTAAAATGCATGTTGCATCATCTATTTTTAGATGTCATTATTCACATCTTCTAAAATTTAAATTATAAAGATATTAAAAAATTGTTTTCCTTTTTGTACTCTATTGGTGTCTTTTGTTTTTATTTACTTTATGAAATTAAATTTTTTTAAATATAAATTATTTAAAAAATAGAAATTAATAAAAATATGTACCAACAATATATAAGTTATGGTTAAATTAGATGTTAAAAAATGGATACCTAAAATACTATCAATCTAGCATTATTTTACTATTTCTCTGTCTGAAGTTAAATTTCATGTTTGCTATTTAAATGGTCAAACTTTATTCATTTTATTTCTTTATTTTTGTTTTTCATTTGATAAAATAATATAAATATATCATATCTTGTTTCAAACATCTTTTGTTAAAGTTTTTTTAAATATGTAAATTAAAGTTTTTAAATCTACCCTAATTTTCATAAAATTTTATTAAAAATAACTTTTATCAAAAGCATAAATCCAAATAAACGATTTAAATTAGAACAAAATGAGTAATCATTTTTACCCACGCATTTTGTCTGGATTTATTAAACTTCGGGCCTGTTTGGGAATAGCGTTAGCGATTAGCGTTAGCGTTTTGAAAATGCTATCTACGTGCAGCGTTTAGCGTTAGCGTTTTCAAAATAATCTGCACCGTTAAAATTTTATCCAAAACGCTAACGCTAATCTCTAACGCAATTTCCAAACATGCCCTTCAATTGGGTCATGTTTGCAATTAACTAGATTTATTAAACTTGAGCTTCTTTCTTTTGGGTGGTCCGTCCGGATCGGGCCGGGTATCCCGGATGGAAGGGTTTATTTATTAAGAAGTTAGAGATTGGAAACAATCAAATCTTCGAACAGGACACCGTGTGTGCCCAATTAAGGTCAAAGTCATATTATGACATTTAGCTCTAATGTCAAGAGAAGCAAACTCATTAAACTTTGACTAATAATAATACGAATCTACTTGGATTAGGACTTAGGAGGAAGGGCTTACAAGAAAACAAACTTCTAATTAGCCTCTACTCTTTTACAACAGGGAAGAAGAAAAACAAGAAGAAGAGATTACCACCAAAAACAAACAAATAGCAAGAACATGACAAAAGGTTCCAAGCAAGAAAGAAAGACATTTTGTCTTCCCAAGCTAGCTAGCTTTACCTGGTGTGGTTAATGTCAGTTCACCGAGGACCGGACAGTTCGACCGCATGTAAATTTTCAGTGGAGTCGACAATCCAATCGGAGGTGGAGTGAGGCGGGGCGAGCTCCACCTCGTGGCGGAGAACTTCCACCTTCTGCCACTCATCCCATCTCTCGGCCAACCCATCCCCTTCCAGCATCTTCACCACGTCCGACATCTTCGGCCTCTCCATTGGGCTGCTTTGCGTGCATAGCAGCGCCACCTGTATCAGCCGCTCCACCTCTCCCTCTACGTAGTTCTTCTCCAAATCCGGATCCACCAGCATTTCCAGCTTCCTCTCCTTCAGCAGCCCTTTCACCTGTACCCATCATTCATTCATATATATATATATATATATATATATATATATATATAAATACACACTCATTTCACCGGTCTCTTATTGTCTGTGAATCAGCTCAGCCTAAAACTCAAACTTGTGGTAATGAACTCAGGAAATGTTATACTCATTCAATGGATGAAAGAATGCACACATACCCAATCAAGCAACATAACGTCGTCGTCATTAGCAAGGCGAGCGAGATCAAAGGCTCGTTGTCCGGTTATGAGTTCTAGAAGCATGATACCGTATCCGAACACGTCGGTTTTTTCCGAAGACTTCCCGGTGGATAAGTACTCCGGCGCTATGTGCCCGATCGTGCCACGAACGGCCGTCGTGACGTGAGTGTCCTTGTAATCCATGAGTTTAGCCAGCCCAAAGTCTCCCACAACCGCCTCGAACTCCTCGTCCAACAGTATGTTTGCAGCTTTCACGTCGCGGTGGATGATCTTCGGATCACAATGGTCGTGTAAATATGACAGTCCCCTTGCGGACCCCAAAGCAATGCGTTTTCTCGTTGCCCAATCTAGTGGTGGTTCACCCGGCGCTCGTTCTACAAAAGTTGAGGGTAAGGTAGTCTTTTAGTTGTAAAAAAAGTGCAGATTGTCTTTCCATTAGAAGAAAGGGAGTACCTCTCAAACATGAAGCAACACTTCCATTGGCCATATAGGGATAAACAAGAAGGCGCTCAGTGGCTGTCATACAAAAGCCACGCAAGCGAAGGAGATTTCTATGAACTGCCATGCTAATCATCTCAACTTCTGTTTGGAATTGAAGCTCCCCGCCAGGGGTACGCTCCTCTTTTAACCGCTTTACGGCAACCAGGGAGCCGTCGGCAAGGCGCCCCTTGTACACCTTACCAAACCCACCTCTCCCTAGAATGTTCTTGTTGCTAAAGCTATCGGTTGCAACTTGTAGCTCTCTGAGAGAGAACCTCTTTAGCTGCCCCAAGTGAACTTCAGGATCTTCTTCAGCTGCAAAATTTATACATATGTAGTTCTTCCTTTAAGGGTCCGTTTGGAAAGATACAAAATGGATTTTCTGGAAAATAAATTTATTTTCTGGTGTTTTCCATTTGGTTGAAAGTGTGGAAAATAAAAAACAACTAGATTCCGTTGTTAATAACATGATAAAACGTGATGAGTTTTGATCCAAGTAGGAAAAGGGTGGAACATGTCTTGAGCCGGAAAAAAGGGAAATCATTTTCCTCCTAATAAACCTCATTTTCCGTTAACTCTGGAAATCATTTCTTGTTGACTCCTAATTTCTGGAACAACTAAACACCTGAAAATGAGAAAATGACTTCCTCCCTCTTCCCAAACAGAAGAAGAAGAAAACAAAAATTGTTCAAGAAAAATAGGGTCAAGTACTAACCTGGGACATCAAAGAAAAAATCTGGTGGCTTTCTGCGACGCCACCATGCAAAAGCAAGGGCAGGGGCAGAAAAGAGTAAAGCGGCACCTGCAGCTACTGCTCCAGCTATAGCTCCGGTTATACTATTTCCACCTGATGTTTTATTGTTTCATATAAAAAAAATTGAAATGGATGGATTCTACAAATCTCCTAACAAATTTTGCTGAAGCAAGATTTAATCACAAGACTCTTCAAGTATATACTCCGTACTTTCTTTGTCACGTAATTTACTTGCTGCATGGACTTGACACTTATAGTGAAAATGAAAATGAGTGGCTGTGTGGTTGATGTTTATTAGAAAGGGAAGAATAAATATCAGCCACACAACCCTTTCCTTGAGAGTATGTTTAGATTCCACAAAATGCTAGGGAAAGGGAAAAAAACGAAGTCATTTCCTTGTGTTTGGTTTTACACAAGAATAATACAAAGGAAAATAATATAGTCCTAGATTTTAAGTAATAGAAAAACATATGTAAACGAGTATGAACAATTATAACAACGACCCAATAAAATCTCAAAAAATATAAGGTCTAGGGAGGGTGTATGTACGCAGACTTTACCCCTACTACGTATATAGAAGATTGAACAAATGCCAAAAATAAATTTGTTGAGTTTGAACAAATGTTTAATTTTCCGTCACATTTTTTGGTTTTTTCCCTTCAAAATTTTTCTTTTACTTCATCTATTTTCTTCCCGAAGCATTTCCCGCGTATTAAAGATGGACCCTAAAAGGAAAGTAGGGAACAAGAAGAGAGTTTTGGTAGGACCCAAAAAAGGAAAACAAGGAGGAAGTTTTGGGACAAGGGGACTAACAAACAAAATGTTAAAACACCACAATAAAACTAGATTCAGCCCTCATGAAAAATCTAACATCAATAGGGTGGAGATGATTCAGCAGCCCAGATAACCAAATCATACAAAAAAAAACCATTCTGTCAACAATAATTAGAACAATTACCTGGAGAAGAAATCGGAGGTAGTGGCACAAAAGGTGGAGGTGGAGAAAATGGAGGAGACCCGGGGCAAGGATGTCCAGTAACCGGCCCACAAAGATTCAAATTATTGGCAAAACTGTACACATTCATAGATCAGCTAATGATCAGTTACCATTATGGAACCACACTCAAAGTAATTCAGCTAGATCGGTCATAAGGGTACCTAATAGGAGTGAATAGGGAAAAAGAACCATTGTCTGGAACTTGGCCAGAAAGACGATTGTTTGATAGGTCCCTGAAAACAGAACCATATTACATGACAGCTCAAGTGTTTGAAAAAGTAATGAAAGCAAAGAGACCAGAAAGGGAAAATTGCACAAACGAAATCACATAATGCACTCACAATACTTGTAGGGATGAGACATTTGTTAGTGACATTGGTATGGAACCTGTTAGGCTGTTGTTGTTGAGTCGGCTATCCATGCACAAAGATCACAAGGAAAAATCAAATTAGACTTTTTAAGGATGGCTTCAATTGTTTCAGAATATCAATCAATCATGCGGGCAAAGGAATATTTAACCTTGACTCTAAAGCCAATAATTGGGCCAACAATTGATTCCCCACATAACAAATAATGATCACTTCATTCACTTGATGCATATTGATAATTATGAAAACTCATGTCCTAAAATTCAAAATTACATAGATATTCTTATGAAGTAGGCTCTCTTCAGCAGCTAGTGAACATGCTGTTAAGGTAGACTGAAAATTAATGCATTGTAACAGAAGAAGAATGACTCGTTGAACAGGAAGAATCTTTACATACAGGAAGCGCAGTTTTGACAGCTTGCCTAAGGAATCCGGTATAGGCCCTGTGAAGCTGTTCGAGTAAAGATCCAAGCTAACCAGATTTGTCAGATTTCCAAGGTCAGTTGGAATTATCCCACTTATGTTATTGCTGTAGAGCTCCCTGTAAAAATCAATCAAACAAACACCCCCATTGGTTTCATATTTCATATCAAACCTACAACAGCCATCTGTTCCTGTAGTAACTAATAAGTATACAATCTTATGTTTTAAAATAGTACTTGGTACATGCAAGTACTGCAAAATCTCATTAAAGCGGAAAGATAAGGTCAAAGTTGCAAAAATGATTTAAGAGCTTTAGACATACAAGTACTGCAGATTCTTCAGCAAGCCAAGTTGAGTGACTAATTGTCCGGACAAAGCGGCATTTCCCAGGTCACTGTAAGAAAATATAAGAGGAAAACAAGATTGCTTGAATTAAATGCTCTCGTGCAAACTGTATCATGAAATGCACAAAAAACTGCACAACAAGAGGGAGCATTACTCACACTCTTATAACACTGTTATCACTGTTGCAAGTAACATGGAACCATGTGCAAGGATTGACAAGGGTAGGGTCCCAACTCTGCAAAACATTGTTAGGATCTTGTAAGTTGGTCCTTAGGCTGTGCAAAGCATCACCTACTCATACATACAATAGAAAAGAGTCAATGCACTTGTGATCTTTCACAAATTAAGTATGGAGTATATAAATAGTTGGAAGAGGAAATCATGCACATTCATTGAAAACCCAGAAATTAAATTGGGGGGGGGGGGGGGGGGG